GTCTGGTCCTTTCCCTGGTGCTCCTGGTCGTCGCTGCTAAAGTGTATGTTCCACCTTCACAGTGTAGGCTTCTCCCTTGTTTTCAGCAACTCTTTAACTTCTAAGAATTGCCTAAACATGCTGCAAGTTGGGAGTAAATAGGTTTCGCCTTTTTACTACTATCTTTGCACATCCCGTTTTGCAGGACTGATAAGCATGCATGTACTTATTTTTAAAATACACTTCGGCGCATAAATCGTATACAATTCTGAAGTTTGCGAACTGTCAGAAATCACTCCAAAAAGCAGCAGAAACCCATGTAGAAAAACTCGGAATTAAAGATGAAAAACCATGGGCAAATATCCTTAATTATCTCCAAAATTCAGAGAAGTAAAAAAACTATAAATTAGAACAATAAATGTAAATCTTTCCTTATTTTGAATAAATAACTACATCGCTTGTTTTATAAAAAAAATATTTTCCTAAGTCAAAATATTTGGTTCAAATTGTTGTTATCTAATTACAATTACTTACAGATGGACCATTAAATTTCGATAAATTTTTCCAGCGTTATCAGTGTCTTCAAGCTTTCCTTCATAAATCCCACTTCCATTCGACGTTTGTATGAGACCTTTGAGTACAATATCGATTAAAATAATTCACGGAACATTTAGGTTTTGCATAGTAGTTTGTATGAAGATGGTCATTTCAGACATATCCAGAAACTCCTCCAAAAAAACAAGGCATACTGTCCAGCAAGAAGAACGTCTTCAACAAGAGTCAGGAATTGTTATTTCTAAGATTATTAAAATATTCAATATACTAGGTTTGCTATTTACAAAAGTATTTAGTTAATGAAATAGCTGACGGATATTTGTACATATTTCTTTTTGTTGAAAATTTACAAACTCACTTTCCTCATTGTACTGGATTAGTTTCCTTTATTGTGGATTACCTCCAGGCTTGGTTTTACACTTACAAACGCAACAAAGAGTGGCCACATATATTGAAAGCTTTTGACATAATAAGCATTCTTCTGCGAGTCCGGTTTATAGATTACGCATAAGTGAACATTTCATTGTGCATGATTTATATTTCATAAAATCACAAAAATATATGATCAGTATTCGGCTACCTCCTAAATACCTGGTGCGGTAAAACACAATAGGATTAAAATAAAATTATTCCATGGAAATGAATGAGATTCCTTAAAATTGCCTTACCCAGCACTTGGGCAACTTCGGAATAAATATTCCGGTTATGGACGGGATATGTTTTGAACGTTCATTTCTTACTTCAGTTTCTCTCACAACACAATGCAAATCAAAAAAGTTTGATTTTGTGCTTCTTTGTAAAACAGGAAATTACTGCGATATAAGACTATTCCGATCCTCGCCATAATTAGAGGCCATTGCCCTTACAAAACATAACTAAATCTGCTGGTATCTTAACTAAAGGGCTTTCACAGGATTAAGTAGACTCAGTGGATCAAAATAAATTGAACAAATTTATGCAAACTACCAAGTCAAATTTCATGATGACCGATGCACTTTTTCGTGGACATAGTGCACAAACTGGTGCAAATTATACAAGCATGTTCTCACATCATCTCTTTGGTTTACAGGCGGACTGTTGGAATCTGCGATTGGGATCAACGGACATATACTGACGAGCAAATTGAAGCCACGTTCAGCACTGTCCTCAGCGGGGTCTACTATGTGAGATGTGTTTTCTTTACCACTTTTCAACAATAAAATTGGCTTTTATCGGCCCAGAGCATAGAATCTTACACATCTGTCATTTTGACAGGACGGCTTCATTGGGGAAACACACTTTACGTACAATAGATCAAGCCTCACATTCTGCCTTCTTGGTAGCACAGAATTTAGATGTGTGTACGCTGTCGGTACGTTACCCGAATATCATTTATTATATTTTTTAGCTTGCTTATTAGTTACGTAAGAAAATCCTAACCATAGCTTTTTTATTATTCTCACCATACTACGCAGTTGGTAACATATTTGCAACAAAGATAAGGCTGCCAAATATTACCAACGTTGACAGCATATACATTAACAGTCAGTACCCTGTGACAATTCATAGAATCGAACAATACGTTACGAACAAGGAAGCCAAAGGTGAGTCGAGCAGTCACTGAGGCCTACCATTGAAATTATTTTTCAAGCATTTGCTCCTGTGAACAACTCTACAACTGTGTTTTCCCACTGGTTACCTTATTTTAACCCCCATTTTTTTAGAACGTTTCATTGTGGACGAAAACATGACTCTGTCTCAATGCCCCAAATATAGCCAAACACGATTGACTTGGAAATTCCCCGGAACTCTGTCGAGTAGACGCAAGGTAGATGGCTTTCTATTTGCCGCAAAAATGTCACACAATTAGAGTAATTTACTGGTCCGTATAAACGAGCAACCTCTTTCTTTTTCCCGTTTAGTTTGAATGCTTCCGGGAGGAAACGCAACTGTGCAAAGGAGTCACAACAGGCAACCAGACCGGAAAATGTGGTAAGTCACGGCATTGTTAATGTATGCATTTTCGTTGATGACAGCAACCTGAGCCGGGCTTGTTTCCGGCTAAATTATCCAGCTTTCGTTATCAATAATGACTCTAACTAGATTAAATTGCTGCCTTTGCTACTAATAATTGGTTTTTATGTCTTTTTTTTATATTAGTGGTAACAGTGGAAGGCAAGAACCTTATTCATACTCAAGTGGTTAACGCTTCCAAAAATGGCGTCGAATTTTTCTTCTGCTATCTGAACAGGGTCACTCCGCAACGCGCACTGACCTACAATGTGGATTGGCGAAGTAAGTGCTAATGAACAGGTTTTACAGAAAGTAGCATAGCATGGCAGAGCCGGAGAGAACGGAAAACAATTGCCATATGTAAGCCTTCCTGGCAAAAAACAATAGCTGCCCGTAGGGAAGGCCCCCAACGTGCTCTGTTGTTAGATTATTGAAAGTACGCCGCATTCCCTTTTTTT